TCTATTTAAAAGATTATCCTCCATGAACCGATTAACGTTTGACATTTGAAACGTGTAATATTAGAAAAATCTTTCCCCTAAAGTTCGCGCAGCATTGCTTCAAGAGGCAAGAAAGAAAATCACTTGCTATTGGCCGAACTATTTTGTTCCTCGTTCGCCCAAAGTGAAAAGGAATTTTATCCCCGAACCAGAGGAAAATAGATAAGCGTCGACGACTCCGACCAGCCACGAAGCAGAAATGATGTTGCCAAGCAACAGCTACCATGTAATCCTAGCAACGTGGTAACACCTAGTCTCTCGGGCACTTCGATTCTTTACTTAGCTAAAATTAATGTTACACACGAATCGCGGATTCTCGGTTCGCCCTAAATCATTCGAAATCTCCTACTTCTTCTTACGGCGATTAACCGACAATTAATTACCGCTTGCTACGATAACAACAACAAAAGAAACAAAAGGTCGCGTGTGCACGAGCATAATTATAAAAATGACTAATCACGCGAAACTTAGACACGACGTCTGTTTACGCGTGAAACGCGAACGTATGCACAGCTGACCGCAATCGAAAACGAGAAATGAAAGAAAATACATTTCCCTCACGTTATCCGGCACGGTGGGTTAAAAATATTAAAGATAAGAATAAAACTCTATTGAAATCTCTATTCGATTCGCTCGCGAGGATCTTTCGAAGCTATAAACGTATAAAGAAACCGTGGTCTATTTATAACGAAAGAGAAATGCATGTCAATTCGATAGACGCGAAACAATGTATGGCGGGGCGATGGGGAAAAATAAAAATAAGAACGATAAAGAGGATAATCGTAGTCGGGCGTACCGCGTTCGTCTCCTATTTTTGGTAACATATAGGAATACTATAATTAAGAATGGACGCGTAGCCAGCCAGCGAAATTGAATTTCCGCGCATGCGACGCGTCCGCCTGTAGCCTCGTACCCAGGCTACCAACGTCGTCATTTGTTTATCCGCTAATAAGCGACAAAATGGCCGCGCTATTGGGAACACATTGGACTCTGAAAATAAACTTTGAAAGGATCGATGCGTTCCACGGGGCCATCCACGATGGTCCGTTCTCGTAAACGATAGTGTCGCGGGTATATCGTGCGTGCTACATTCCACGGGACAGAATCGGTCGGTACTGCGGCTTTTAAACGGTTTTTCGAGAAAAATGGCGTCACCAACGGCGCAGTCTGTTTTTGCCCAACATGTTTCTCCGGCCTTGTCATTCGACACGCCGCGCGACGTGCACGTACGCGGGACGACAGTTTTCGAGAATGTTCAACGGTTTTCGAATTCTCGTTTGCAATCGCACGGACAGGGCTGGCCGAACGCCGATCGCCCGTGTATATGTGGAACGCGCGACGAGCGGATTTTTCACGGACACACTCGGTGGCGGCGGCGGCGGCGGTTCCCCGTCGGAACGGTTCAGCCTGCGAAAATTAAAAACGAAGAGGAAAAACGTCGCCGAATTTCCCGTCCACGACGGAATCACGGTTCCACGTGAACGGAAGGCGATTCTCGGGAACGGACGAAAACATGCCACACACTGCGTTACTTGTTGAATTCAAATATGGAGTTGATAATGATTACGAAACTGGAGCAAACATGAAAATGGCCACGGTTGCGGTCGCGCACGATATCAAAACCGTCGTTCTCCCGGTGGGATCCCGCTTTCGAATGAATTACCACGATTTTAAATGTTCCGACGATTTATCACGGGAACCGAGAGACGTCTCGGGCGCACCGTGAAAAGCTTCTACGCCAACCATATTTTTAATGTATTCTCGCGTACGCGTCATCAATTCGGACGTTGCGTTTCGAAGGAATCGAACCGTCCGCTTTTCGTCGTTGTAATCGGATAATTACGTTCGAGAAACGTTACCGTGATCCGTGCTGTTTCAAACGAAAATTTCCCGACGATGGTTACATCGGGACGTTTAACGAATGAAACGGCATTTTGCGTTTTTCTGCTTTTCAGGCTGCCGTTCGATCGTCGACGCACACGTGAATCCCGTCACTTGGAAACGAACGCGAGGAACGCTGCGAGGATCTGTTTTGAAAAACTCACGTATTCGAGTAGACAGACGGCAGTCTTCGTTGGTTTTCTAAAGACGGGCATCTCAAGCACACTCTACACAACACCCAGCTGATTGGGACGCCATGTTTTGACGTCATCACGTGTTTGCCGAAACATCTATCGCACCTCGAACATCGATGTATCGTATTACGGATCCGGGAAAATATGAATTTCAAACACAACAGCCGCGCCTGGTAATTTTTACACTTTCGCGACACCGTCGATGGTTCAATCTCGTTTCATGGGGTTCCCCATCATTGGTCAGATCTTACAGATATAAGAGTAACGATGGTTGTCAACTATAAGGGTTGAGATACTTTTTTTTTACAGTTAACGAACAATTAATAGATTTTAATTGGATTATAAACAGCGAAGTACCTGTTTATAATATAATTGGAATAGATTGATTGGAAATTAATGTAAGTAAGATAAAAGAAAAATTACTCTTAACACTTAGCCAACCGAATAGATCTCCCATTGCCTATTTTATCTTTTCTTTTGTTTAGTAAGTCTTCAAGTGGGATTATTTGCAATTTATGGTCTTTTAGGCGGTCTAAGTGTTAAGTGTTGAGACAGTTTAGGACGTTACAAAAGTAATTTGTGGAATTTTTTTCCAAATCGTTATTTGTTCAGGATGATTGGAGAATAAACAACCGTGTCGTTCGAACGTCTATTTTTATTTTGCTATTTCAAATCGTCGAGGTTTACATTACAAGATAGCGAATAGTTTCTTTCTCTCTTAAATTATATAGTACTGATTATAGATACTGAAGATTCTAACAAAGAAATCGGCAAATGCTTTTCTCTGAAGTCTAAAAGACGATCACAGCCCAGTAAACCGCAACACATCGATGATAAAATTCGTCTCGTCTCTCGTCGAATAATAATAATCCCCTGCTTTACAACAATTTATGGTTCCACTCGTACTGCTACGACATTATTGCACCATTAATGGCTTTTATACTGTGCGGCGTATTAAAATCTCGATGACGACTTGTCCTCGTAAATACGGTTTCCCACGGGAAAGGTGTAAGTATATTCACATGGCACGGTCATATAGGAAAGGTTTCGTTACGGTTAACGTATTAAAATATTCAATTTCAGATCGTCCGACGACGAAACATTCGATCACTGTGCATTTAACGAAACCTGCACGAACACGTAAAGAGATCTTACACGCAAAATTCGAGAAACCAAAAGATTAATAGTTTTCGTATCACCTTCGTTAAACGTTTAATTCAAGTCATTTGTATATCTGCGCAGAGATTGGTTACCGACGTTTCTATGAAATTGATTTTCTCTCTTGTCTCTTCTTATAGAATCTCTCTTATTCGATTTTTATGCACGAGTCGCAAACTCGGACCGGCTTCTCCCATCCTCTGTGTGGCACGGGCTTCCGATGCTGCGAGCACTCCTGACACACACCGCGTCCACAATCTCTGCAGTGGTGCAACAGAACGGTAGCCGAAAATTTTGTATCACATATGCAACAACTGACCACCTCTGAGTCGGGAATCCAATACAGAGGTCTAACTGTATCCTTTATGAATGCTGCAACAAGAAATGGAAACTTTGTTAAACGACAGAGCAGTATCGGTAGTACTATAATTTAACCCTTTGCACTCTGAAGGTGAGTCGGTCACCATTTGATTTGACACGGTGAAACTATAAAATCTGACATTTAATGAACTTTGTACAATGTAATTTCCCTTTGAGTTAGTTCCAAGGAATATTCACCTTGTAAAGAAATGTTAAACATTTTTAGTGAGAGACTTCCAAGTGCAAAGGGTTGAATAAATGATTTGTACGGATGCTTACACTTTGAATAGTTCAATACTGTTCCAACCGCGCTCAGAGTAGAGACCACTTGTTCGGAGACTTTTCTGGCGTTCACGTCGTCCGAAGATTCAGTGACCTCATCGTTGGAGTTCAGGTCCTTGGCATAACAGGTATCACAGACACGCACAGGTGTATGCCAATTCCTAAACGGAACACACTTTGTATTGGATGAACACTGCGAGCAAAATCCTTCGCCGCATGCCCGGCAATGGTGTTTCGTGTCCGTTGGTCCGAACACAGTTTTACATTTATAGCAATGCTTTATCTCATTGTTAGGTCTCCAGTATGATGGTGCTACCTGATCAGCAACCCACGCGGACAACACCTTTGACGGTTGCAACGAAACGTTCGTTACAGCTTCGGTGATATAGGATACGCCATCGATTACCCTTTGAGCTGTGTTCTGTGAAGATACCGAGTGATTCACCTGGGAACAAATGGGATTTTTAAGGAGCAAAGTAAAGATTGAGTTTGGGTTGTTGATATGGTGTACGAGAAAGGATAGGTCATTGACGTACCATGTTCCATACATGTGTGATCTCTGTACGGACAGCAAACTCTTCTGGATCTTTGTTGCCGTACCAATACTGGCGACTTCTATATATTTCCCCGCACTGGGGGCATTCTATCACATTCCCTACCCAAGCATACTTCACCAGTCCGTACCAACTATTATCGTTTCCTGATTGAATTTGTTTTGTAACTCGTACCTCGTTTCCATTACTATAACATTTTTTACATATATATACTAGATTTTCATATTGATGCTGATATCGGCACCTATGAAAATGTAAACCGGTCAAGGACTGTATAGTTCCATCGATTGTAGTCATTTAGGACTGAATTCCGATTGCGAAACTGACCTAGTGTCGCTATGGTGTGGTTTCCCCTCTCGAAGGTGACCCATACCGTTGCTGCATCTGCATCCACAACTGAGACATTTAACGGGGCAAGTGAAATATTGATCAGGGAACAAAGAGTTCGAGTAGTTGTCGATCTCCCCGGAAAATTTGTCGTTCAGAATTCTCAAAGTATTGTAAACTATGTGCGGCGGTCTGGCAGATCTGACGCTTGTGTTGTTTAATTCTTTCATTATGGTAGTGTACAAGGGTTCGTAGTCGGGTGTGAAATTTGCCGCCTGTAGACCAACGTATTTCATAGAACTGAACGCCTCTGTTTCGAGCTTCATTTCAGCGAATCTTGTTCTGAGTATGTCTTCTGTACTCTCTACACCATCTGCGACAGGAAAAAGATAATATATTTGGTGTGACATTAATGTAACGATTTGTGAGGAAACTCTTATTTTGAAATTACTGTTAATCTGAGAATGTAGCAATATGTACTGTTAGTCAATGGTTTGGTGTATCTAGTTTCGTGTAGTATTATAACGCTTGGTCCCAATGTACTTAAAGAATTTAGAACACCTTCTCTCTGTACTACCGCTTGTAAAGCTGTTTGAAAATGATTACTGTACGCTCGGGACGCAGTACCAAAAAATGTGAATAAATCCCTATTTAGTCTTTCCGATTGTGTCCTATACATTACAATATCAGAAACAGCAAGCACTTTAAGCAATAACCTTGTTCGTTCATTCTCATGGGTCGAGACACCTAAGCAAAAATAATCTAATTACCAAAATATTTATATTGTTTTAAAGTATAACAGAGAATACAAATATATAGATGTTAAAATACCTAATAAACCTTCGGTATCTAAACAGATCACATTAAGAATTGGATCAAACGCAGCCCAAACACCTAACGTGCAAGAATTCTGATCGTTGGAAGTTTTAAATACTTCTTCTCCTTTGAAGAATGTCTGATTTAACGTATGACTCTTTCCATCGCCTGTATTCCCAAATATAGATACCACCTTTACTTTCAAATCTTTTTTGTTGCAGTGTAACTTTTCTGCAAACTGTTTCGCATTGGAAACCATAAGGTTTTCTTGTCCATCAATCAATAAGAAACTCTTTGGTCGATTACACTGGCATTTCGTTTGCGGTCCATTTTCTAGGATCCCATTTATGGGAACTGCATTATGATTAGAACAATGTACTTCCCCATTATAAATACACATGCTGTCTAGGCTTTCCATAATAGCCGGTCCTGTCGATTCCAACTTACGTTCTCTCCATAATGCACTCATGATGCAATTTGGCAATGTTACTTCTGAAATATCAGGAACTCCGTTATACACAGACCACGTCGTTGTAGGAACTTGTAGGAAACAAGATGTGAAAATACATCGTTATTCACTGATTTAAACGACAAAAAACGGTACTGTCGTTGAATTGGTTACATCAAAATATTCA